TTTATTCAGACTTCCTACAATAAATATATTCATGACTCATTATAAGCTAAGAACAAAAATATTAAGGTAAAAAAAACATACCACGGGCAGGATTGAACCCGCGGTCAGAGAGTCTCAAAACTCCAGACCGTTGCATTAGCCACTGGACCACTGGTTTGTTTGCAATTGTGTTATTACGATTTTGTGAGTCATGTTGACGGCATTGAGGGGACTTGAGCTAGAGTTCGTCACAGCCACACTAGCTGGAGATTCGTCTGTAAAAACTTGCATTTGTGGTCACAGTGGTGTCTATGCTAACCCTCCTATGGTGTAGAAATATACCTAGTTGGACGAATCTTATGTGGCTAGATGGTCCAGTGGCTAACGTGACGGTCTGGAGTTTTCAGACTCTCTGACCGCGGGTTAAATCCCGCCCGTGGTATGGTTTGTTTGCAATCGTGTCATTACGATTTCGTGAGTCATATTTTAAGGTAAGTACAATAGGACCCCCGTATCCGCGGGGGATATGTTCCAGGGACCTGCCGTGGATACTGAAACCATGGATAGTAGCTATACATACCTATTATAAAGTTTAATTGATAAATTATACACAATATGTGGGGAATTATCAATTTTTCACTGATGGGAAGCACTTAACTTCTTCTCTTAGCCTTTGAAGAACTGCCAGCTTCTCTACTTTCGTGCTTTGGATCTATTACTATGCAAAATTAAGAGGCGTTTTTGGGCCACAGTAAACCATGGATAACTGAAACCATAGATACAGGGTTCTACTGTAATGTGTGTACTGTAGTATATGCTTTTAGGCCTAGCTCTATTACTCAATATATGATAGTATAAACATGTATCCCTAGGTAGTAGGTTGGTAGACAGCAACCACCCAGGGAGGTACTACCGTTCTGCCAAGTGAGTGTAAAACAAAAGCCTGTAATTGTTTTACATGATGGTAGGATTGCTGGTGTCCTTTTTTCTGTCTCATGAACATGCAAGATTTCAGGTATATCTTGCTACTTCTACTTACACTTAGGTCACACTACACATACATGTACAAGCAAATATATACACACTCCTCTGGGTTTTCTTCTATTTACTTTCTAGTTCCTGTTCTTGTTCATTTCCTCTTATCTCCATGGGGAAGTGGAATAGAATTCTTCCTCCGTAAGCCATGCGTGTTGTAAGAGGCGACTAAAATGCCGGGAGCAAGAGGCTAGTAACCTCCTTCTCCTGTATATATTACCAAATGTAAAAGGAGAAACTTTGGTTTTTCCTTTTGGGCCACCCCGCCTCGGTGGGATACGGCCGGTGTGTTGAAAGAAAGAAAGATAAACATGTATCAGGGTTTTATATACATTTGAAAGTGAAAAAAAGGCTTTTTTTTCACTTTAAAGTGATTTTCACTACACAGCAGTAGCCTGGAACCTAAGCTGCTGTCTAAGTGAGGCCTGCCTGTAGTTTAACTGTAACAACAACAGCCCCATGAAAGACATTTCAAATGAGCCATGCAAGCCCAGTCAGACAATCACCAGGCAACACATTCTTAAAATGTTTACCTGAGATTCAGGGGATTACCAGTGCAGTTGTAGAGAGAACACAAGTGGTGAAGATTTGTAACAACTCAACTGTAAAGAACAAATCAGGAGGAACACAAGGAACACTAAGCATGGCATGCATCATGTGCCCACCCTGAATGCTAAACTACCAACAGAATCGACAAGGAAGGCATGTGATAAACAGGAAGTAGTGAGAATAGGGAAATGATCACTGTAGAAGAGATCATTTACTACAATCCAAAAAAATGTGAGAGCTACATAGGAAGAGTAGAGAGAGAGTACAAGTAAGTGGATCAAGATGTGTCGGAACACCGGTGTTCGAGAAGTGAAGATGTTGAGTGTCAAAGAAAGACAAACTTTTCTCTATGAGAGTCACAGTTCAACTCTCCCACAGCAAATGATAACTTAAAATCACCCAGTAAAAGAAGTAATGTAGGTAAAGATGAAATCAAAGATTGTATATGTATTAGATAAAAGGCTAGATACATGAAGGGAAGAGAAGTTTGTTGTCTGCTGAGTGGGATGGGTCAATGTGAGTAATGTAATGGAAATATGTGAGGGTAAATGTATTTGTTTAATATATTTATAGATGGAGTTGTAAAAGAAGTAAATGCTAGGGTGTTCGGGAGGGGGGTGGGATTAAATTATGGGGAATCAAATTCAAAATGGGAATTGACACAGTTACTTTTTGGTGATGATACTGTGCTTATGGGAGATTCTAAAGAAAAATTGCAAAGGTTAGTGGATGAGTTTGGGAATGTGTGTAAAGGTAGAAAGTTGAAAGTGAACATAGAAAAGAGTAAGATGATGAGGGTATCAAATGATTTAGATAAAGAAAAATTGGATATCAAATTGGGGAGGAGGAGTATGGAAGAATTGAATGTTTTCAGATACTTGGGAGTTGACGTGTCGGCGGATGGATTTATGAAGGATGAGGTTAATCATAGAATTGATGAGGGAAAAAAGGTGAGTGGTGCGTTGAGGTATATTTTTTTTTTTATTATCACACTGGCCGATTCCCACCAAGGCAGGGTGGCCCAAAAAAGAAAAACTTTCACCATCATTCACTCCATCACTGTCTTGCCAGAAGGGTGCTTTACACTACAGTTTTTAAACTGCAACATTAACACCCCTCCTTCAGAGTGCAGGCACTGCACTTCCCATCTCCAGGACTCAAGTCCGGCCTGCCGGTTTCCCTGAACCCCTTCATAAATGTTACTTTGCTCACACTCCAACAGCACGTCAAGTATTAAAAACCATTTGTCTCCATTCACTCCTATCAAACACGCTCACGCATGCCTGCTCGAAGTCCAAGCCCCTCGCACACAAAACCTCCTTTACCCCCTCTCTCCAACCTTTCCTAGGCCAACCCCTACCCCGCCTTCCTTCCACTACAGACTGATACACTCTTGAAGTCATTCTGTTTCGCTCCATTCTCTCTACATGTCCGAACCACCTCAACAACCCTTCCTCAGCCCTCTGGACAACAGTTTTGGTAATCCCGCACCTCCTCCTAACTTCCAAACTACGAATTCTCTGCATTATATTCACACCACACATTGCCCTCAGACATGACATCTCCACTGCCTCCAGCCTTCTCCTCACTGCAACATTCATCACCCATGCTTCACACCCATATAAGAGCGTTGGTAAAACTATACTCTCATACATTCCCCTCTTTGCCTCCAAGGACAAAGTTCTTTGTCTCCACAGACTCCTAAGTGCACCACTCACTCTTTTCCCCTCATCAGTTCTATGATTCACCTCATCTTTCATAGACCCATCCGCTGACACGTCCACTCCCAAATATCTGAATACATTCACCTCCTCCATACTCTCTCCCTCCAATCTGATATTCAATCTTTCATCACCTAATCTTTTTGTTATCCTCATAACCTTACTCTTTCCTGTATTCACCTTAATTTTCTTCTTTTGCACACCCTACCAAATTCATCCACCAATCTCTGCAACTTCTCTTCAGAATCTCCCAAGAGCACAGTGTCATCAGCAAAGAGCAGCTGTGACAACTCCCACTTTGTGTGTGATTCTTTATCTTTTAACTCCACGCCTCTTGCCAAAACCCTTGCATTTACTTCTCTTACAACCCCATCTATAAATACATTAAACAACCACGGTGACATCACACATCCTTGTCTAAGGCCTACTTTTACTGGGAAATAATTTCCCTCTTTCCTACATACTCTAACTTGAGCCTCACTATCCTCGTAAAAACTCTTCACTGCTTTCAGTAACCTACCTCCTACACCATACACTTGCAACATCTGCCACATTGCCCCCCTATCCACCCTGTCATACACCTTTTCCAAATCCATAAATGCCACAAAGACCTCTTTAGCCTTATCTAAATACTGTTCACTTATATGTTTCACTGTAAACACCTGGTCCACACACCCCCTACCTTTCCTAAAGCCTCCTTGTTCATCTGCTATCCTATTCTCCATCTTACTCTTAATTCTTTCAATAATAACTCTACCATACACTTTACCAGGTATACTCAGCAGACTTATCCCCCTATAATTTTTGCACTCTCTTTTATCCCCTTTGCCTTTATACAAAGGAACTATGCATGCTCTCTGCCAATCCCTAGGTACCTTACCCTCTTCCATACATTTATTAAATAATTGCACCAACCACTCCAAAACTATATCCCCACCTGCTTTTAACATTTCTATCTTTATCCCATCAATCCTGGCTGCCTTACCCCCTTTCATTTTACCTACTGCCTCACGAACTTCCCCCACACTCACAACTGGCTCTTCCTCACTCCTACAAGATGTTATTCCTCCTTGTCCTATACACGAAAACACAGCTTCCCTATCTTCATCAACATTTAACAATTCCTCAAAATATTCCCTCCATCTTCCCAATACCTCTAACTCTCCTCTCCTATTTTTAACTGACAAATCCATTTGTTCTCTAGGCTTTCTTAACTTGTTAATCTCACTCCAAAACTTTTTCTTATTTTCAACAAAATTTGTTGATAACATCTCACCCACTCTCTCATTTGCTCTCTTTTTACATTGCTTCACCACTCTCTTAACCTCTCTCTTTTTCTCCATATACTCTTCCCTCCTTGCATCACTTCTACTTTGCATCACATATACTTTGAGGTATATGTGGAGTCAAAAAATGTTATCTATGGAGGCAAAGAAGGGAATGTATGAAAGTATAGTAGTGCCAACACTCTTATATGGGTGTGAAGCTTGGGTGGTAAATGCAGCAGCGAGGAGACGGTTGGAGGCAGTGGAGATGTCCTGTCTAAGGGCAATGTGTGGTGTAAATATTATGCAGAAAATTCGGAGTGTGGAAATTAGGAAAAGGTGTGGAGTTAATAAAAGTATTAGTCAGAGGGCAGAAGAAGGGTTGTTGAGGTGGTTTGGTCATTTAGAGAAAATGGATCAAGTAGAATGACATGGAAAGCATATAAAATCTATAGGGGAAGGAAGGCAGGGTAGGGGTCATCCTCGAAAGGGTTGGAGAGGGTAAAGGAGGTTTTGTGGGTGAGGGGCTTGGACTTCCAGCAAGCATGCGTGAGCGTGTTAGATAGGAGTGAATGGAGACGAATGGTACTTGGGACCTGACAATCTGTTGGAGTGTGAGCAGGGTAATATTTAGTGAAGGGATTCAGGGAAATCGGTTATTTTCATATAGTCGGACTTGAGTCCTGGAAATGGGAAGTACAATGCCTGCACTTTAAAGGAGGGGTTTGGGATATTGGCAGTTTGGAGGGATATGTTGTGTATCTTTATATGTATATGCTTCTAAACTGTGGTATTCTGAGCACCTCTGCAAAAACAGTGAAAATGTGTGAGTGTTGGTGAAAGTGTTGAACGATGATGAAAGTATTTTCTTTTTGGAGATTTTCTTTCTTTTTTGGGTCACCCTGCCTCGGTGGGAGACGGCCGACTTGTTGGAAAAAAAAAAAATGTATTTCTGCAACCATCACAGATGTAGGTGTCAGTGCATGAGGTAGACTCTTAGAAAAAGAAGTTTCAATATATTTTAACTGATAAAGCACTAAATACATAGGAGTCATACCGCAGCTATGGAATGAGGTGCCTTCAAGTTCAATCCAATAAAAGGATGATACATCCAGTTCCTTGGATCAAGAGGAGCCCTTCACTGGCACTACAAGGGTATCTCTCCTGTGGTTCTTTAAGTCAGCTCATACTCTCTCAAGTCTTCAAACAAAGTAGCCATGACATCTGTAATAATGACTTTGTTATTATTGTATTTTTGGAAAGCACTAAACCTGTAAGTCACTCATGGCAGAGGTGAAAGAGATGGTGGGAAGGAGTGGAGGTGTTGAGGGAATGTTATCAACACAGCAATGGTGTCAAAGCTCATGAAGAAAGGTGATGTCAGTTAAGTAATGGAAGAGTGCCAACAACATTGCTGGCACTCTGTGTTCACAGTGAAGGTGGCACTGTCTATAACAAGGGTCATATTATCAGTCTGCAACAAATCTGTCACATTCAGTCTATAATAAAGATGGCATCATCACAATCTGCAACAAGGTTGGCCTCATCACTGTCACACTTGATAAAGCTCTACACACAGTAGCTTTACCATGTCACATTTGACAAAGCTCTATACACAGTAGCTTTACAATGTCACCATGACAAAGCTTCACACAGAGTAAAACATTGTCCTCAGGAAAACTACTCTACAACCTGTGATTTTGTTCATCATTATCTTGTCTTCACAACATTCATTACAACCTTTCCCGAATAAGCATAAGACTGTGTATTGCTCTCGAATTTGTGAATCGAGAGAGAGAGAAAAACTATATGCAAAATAAAGTTTACGTGGATGTCGTCTGAAAAATACCAAATTGTTTTAGAATTTAAATTTAATTTAGGCAATGTGCTACACCAGACATGGTTACTATCAACCTACTTATCGTATTTACCTTATCAGTTATTGCACGCTAGATCCTCGGTATTCACAAAATATTTGAGATTTAATAAATAAATAAATACATATTTTGGTAACCCCCTTCGGTATAAATACTAAATGTAAAAAAGAAAAAAAACTCTATGGTGTTTCTTTTTTTTCGGGTCAACTGGCCTTGGTGGAAGACAGCCAGTTTGTTGAAGAAAATAAAATCAGATGTGTAAGCTAGCCACCCACAGTAATGGTGAACTAACAGCTGAAATGTACATAAAATATTTTGCTCATTTTCTTGTTATTAAGGTAGAGGAATTCTTATTTACAACTGCCACCTCAGTGGAGGTGTAAGTCAATGGTAATGCATACTGACAAGTCTATTAAAAAAAATGCATACAGTTTATGGCATTTTAGTGAGATGTTTTGTCTCTGGTAGGTGAGACATCTTCTCCATAAGCTGCCATAAACAGCATATTGTATCTTATTAACAGCCTTAACAAAGGCTTCCAGGAAGGTTACCTTTGGACATACAGACGGCTTCCTGTATAACTTGACTTTTATCCTAAATAATTAGAATGGAACAAATTGACACAGCAACAACAAGAAATGATTCACAAATACACATACACTTCTTTGATTATATATACATTTCTCAGCATATTTCTTAATATTTCTTTCCAAACATTTCCTTCTTAACAAGTTGTCATTTCAATGATCACTGTACCATGTATAAATAACAAGACTTAAACAAGTCTTTACCACCTGCTGTCCATTCAGTTTAATTAACCTTATGACTTTTCAATTTGTTTTGGAATAAGTACATTAAGAAGTCTGTTGGATATAAATATTACAATCCCTCATGTCTGGTTAAACTTAGAACTTCTTCAACATTTCATCTAATGCACAAATAAAACATTTTAAATTATATTAGTTTAACATAAAGACTCAACAAAGTTTGATCAGACTTACACACGTTACTCAACCTTCTCTCTGGGTGAGCTCATAGCCTCCTGAATTTTACATTTGATATCAGCAAATAAGAGTGTCCCACCAAACACCAGCGCTGTGCCTACCCAGTGGCTTATTGTGAAGGGATTCTGGAAGTATATGATGGAGAAGGTGAGTGAGAGAAACTTGCGTAGAGTGAGGATGAGGGTCACCGTCAGCGAGGTGCACTCCGAGGTCAGGGCAAACACTGAGCTGATGCACACGTATCTGATCGTGGGTTAAGGATCTTCAGTTTAGGATCTGCTTATCAATCGTACAGTATATTGTACTGCCTTATATTATATACATGTATGTAAAATAACCATAGTGAAAAAACAGTGAAATTCCAAGCATTTTCATGATTTCTCACATTATCACATAGTGAGAAATCACAAAAGTACTTGGAATTTCAATATTTTTTTTTTCACTGTGGTTATTTTGCATATTGTGATATTACCTGTTTATTGTGATCTTCTTGTATCTTACTATATACAGTGGACCCCCGGTTAACGATATTTTTTCACTCCATAAGTATGTTCAGGTGCCAGTACTGACCGAATTTATTCCCATAAGGAATATTGTGAAGTAGATTAGTCCATTTCAGACCCCCAAACATACACGTACAAACGCACTTACATAAATACACTTACATAATTGGTCGCATTCGGAGGTAATCGTTATGCGGGGGTCCACTGTACATCCATCTCACTATATATACATTCCACTCAAATTTCTTCAGTGTACAAACAAATATTGGGAAGAAGTGGGAGTTGTCACAGTTGCTTTGCAAATGACACACTTCTTTTGGGAGATTCTAAAGAGAAATTAAAAAGGTTGGTGGAGGAATTTACAAGGGCATGCAAAATAATGAAATTAAAATTGAACACAGAAAAGAGCAATGTGATGAGAGTAATAAAAATTCTAGGCAGAGAAAGACTGGATATGAGACTGGAGGGAGAAAGTACAGTGGCAGCAGGTGTATTCAGATATTTAGGAGTGGACTTGTCAGCATATAAGTCTATGAAAGACATGGTGAAACAGAGAATAGACGAGGGGTAAAAAGATGGATAGTGTCAAGGCATCTGTGGACAAAATACTTTATCTATGGAGGCAAAAGAAGGATTGTATCAGAATATATTGGCACCAACACTGTTATATAGGTGCGAGGTATGGGAGAAGAGCTGTCTGGAGGCAATGAAGATGTCACTATTGAGGGTAATGTGTGGTGTGTGTATTATGCTAAGAATTTGGATTGTAGAAATTAGAAGACAGTGCAGGATTACCAAACCTATATATAATTCAGATGACTCAGGAGAGGTTGTTGAGGTGATGGGTATTCAGAGAGCCAGGAGCAGCATAGGATGACCAAGGATGAGTGTAAATTAAGGGCAGAAGGAGGGAGGGGTAGAGGTCACCTCAGGAGGAGGTAAAGGAGTGCTAGGGGCTTGAATATCCAAGAGGTTGTGTGAGCAAGTTAGATCAGAGGAAGACAGGTGGTTTTTATGACTTGTGATTCTGTCTGAGTGTGAGCAAGGTAACATTTATAAAGAGATTCCAGGAAACTGGTTAGCCAGACATGAGTCCCAGAGGTGGGAAGTGCAGTGCCTGCACTCTGAAAGGGAGGGAGGGAGGGCAGTGAAGAAATTGCAGTCCTGAAGGTGGGAACATTTACCTTTGATATACCTCTGATGAGTTCCAAGAGTTTTTCTACTCCCAGAGCCTGGTCATGGGCCAGGCATTCCCAGTAATTTAAATGCTTTATTGACTCTATGTGGGCTGTAAACGATCTCTGTATTTCTTCAAGCTCTGAGTTTTCTACTCCCCTGAATGGGGATGTCAAAATTGAGCAATATTCCAAGTGAGGAAGCATGAGCAATTTAAAAAGTGTCACCAATGACATTATTTCCTTTGTTTTGAAGGTTCTCATTGCCCACCCCTTCATCCTCCTTACTGTCAAGATCTTTGTCTTATTATGGTCTTTGAAAGAAACGTCAGATGACATGGTCATTCCCAAGTCTGTCATATGCTCCTTTCATATGTTCCTTTTGAGTTCTTCATTCTTTCCATACCATGGAACATCATGTTGTTTTCCAGTGCCCACTGGAAAGCACTACTTATATCTTCATGTAATTTTTCAGTGTCTTCTACTGAAGTGACTTTCATGCTTATTTTAGTGTCTCTCGCAAATGATGATACAAAACTGTGATGGGTGTTTTAATCTATGTCTGTTTTGAGGATAAGAAACAGAAGAGGTGCCAGGACAGTGCCTTGTGGAACTGAGCTTTTTACCTCACTGATGTTGGATTTTAGTCTGTTTACTACTATTTTTTGTGTTTTGTGTGTGTTAGGAACCCAAAAATTCATCCGCCTACTTTCCCCGTAATGCCTACGGACATTATTTTGTGTGCAGTCACCCCATGATTGCATTTGTCAAACGCCTTTGCAAAATCTGTATACAGTGGTCCCTCAATAATTGTCCGGCCTGAAAGTCGTCCATTTCGGAAATAGTCCTGTTATTTTGTCTAAATATTAGCTCGCAAATGGTCTGGTAACTCGCTAATAGTCCTTCGTCCGGGACGCGTACTCACACTCTGAGTTGCCTGGGCCTTCCCTTCCCAGCCAGTGTGCCATTGTTTACCAGTGAGTGACGGTCCCCTCACTTGCTCCAACAAAATATTTCATAATATTCCATTGATTTTAGTGCTTGCAAGTGCTAAATAAGCTACTATGGCTCCAAAGAAAGCTCCTAGTGCCAAGCCTTTGGTAAAGAAGGTGAGAAATACGATTGAATTTAAGAAAAACATCATTGAACAATATGATAGTGGCGTACGTGTGGGCGAACTGGCCAGGATGTATAACAAAACCCGTACAACCATATCTTCCATCATAGCCAAGAAAAAGGAAATCAAGGATGCTGTTGTTGCAAAGGGGGTAAATATGCTGACAAAAATGAGATCACCAGTACTCGTAGATGTTGAGAAGTTATTATTGGTGTGGATAAACGAGAAACAATTAGCAGGAGATAGTCTTATGACGTCGCTTATTTGTGAAAAGGCTAGGCAGTTGCATGATGATTTGGTAAAGAAATTGCCTGCAACTAGTGGTGATGTGAGTGAATTTAAGGCCAGCAAAGGCTGGTTTGAGAGATTTAAGAAGCGTACTGGCATACACAGTGTGGTAAGGCATGGTGAGGCTGCCAGTTCTGACAACAAAGCGGCTGAAAAATATGTGCATGAATTCAAGGAGTACATAAACAGTAAAGGACTGAAACCTGAACAAGTGTTCAATTGTGATGAAACAGGCCTCTTTTGGAAGAAAATGCCAAAGAGGACCTACATTACTCAGGAAGAAAAGGCGCTGCCAGAACACAAGCCTATGAAAGACAGGCTGATGCTAATGTTCTGTGCTAATGCTAGTGGGAATTTCAAAGTGAAGCTGTTACTAGTGTACCATTCTGAAAATCCCAGAGTGTTCAAGAAAAACAATGTTATGAAGAGTAAATTGTGTGTTTTGGAGATCTAATAGTAAGGCATGGGTCACAAGGGAAATTTTCGTTGAGTGGTTCAATGAAGTGTTTGGCCCTAGTGTGAAGGAGTATCTCCTGGAAGAGAAATTGGATCTCAAGTGCCTCCTAGTAATGGACAATGCACCTGCTCATCCTCCAAACTTGGATGACCTAATTCTGAAGGAGTTTGGGTTCATCACAGTAAAGTTCTTGCCCCCGAATACCACTCCTCTCCTCCAGCCCATGGACCAGCAAGTCATTTCAAGCTTTAAAAAACTCTACACCAAAGCAATGTTTGAAAGGTGCTTGAATGTGACCTCAGACACTCACTTGACCCTACGAGATTTTTGGAAAGAACACTTCAGTATTCTCCATTGTGTAAGCCTTATAGGTAAGGCTTGGGAGGAAGTGACTACAAGGTCTTTGAACTCTGCTTGGAGAAAATTGTGGCCAGATTGTGTCCACAAGAGGGATTTTGAAGGGTTTGAGGCAGCCCATGATGAGCCTATGTCAGTTGTGAACTCTATTGTCGCACTGGGGAGTTCCATGGGGTTGGATGTGAGTTTGGAGGATGTGGAAGAGTTGGTGGAGGACCACAACGAAGAGCTAACCACTGAGGAGCTGCAAGAGCTTCAGCAGGAAGAGCAACAGATCGCAGCTCAGAATCTTGCTGCAGAGGAAGAGGAAGAGAGATGGAAGAAGGTGCCTTCTTCAGAAATTAAGGAGATTTTTGAAATGTGGGGTAGGATGGAAAGATTTATGGAGAAACATCACCCAGAGAAGGATGTTGCAAGCCATATCGGCAACTTGTACAGTGACAGAGTCTTGGCCCATTTTAGGGAAGTTTTAAAGAGATGCCAGAAACAGAGCTCTGTGGACAGTTTTTTTGCGAGACAGGACTCCAGTGACTCTCAAGGTAGTCCTAGTGGCATTAAGAAACAGAGAAGAGAAGTAACCCCAGAAAAGCAATTGGTACCCGAGGTGCTGATGGAAGGGGATTCCCCTTCCAAACAGTAAATAATCCAATCTGTCTCCTTCTCCAGTCTTCCATACACAAAGAAGAATCGCCAATAAAGGTAAGTGTTAGTCTGTTAATGTTTAATTCATCATGTGCCACTGTACTGTTTATGTACTACATCTATATTTCATGTAAAAAAATTTTTTGTTTTAATACTTCTGGGTGTCAGGAACGGATTAACTGCATTTACATTATTCCTTATGGAGAAAATTGATTCGTAAATCGCCCATTTCGATAATAGTCCCACTTCCAGGAACGGATTATGGACAATAATTGAGGGACCACTGTATATCACATTTGTGTTTTGGTCATCTTCCAATGCCTCCATAATTCTGTCATAGTAGTTCATCAGCAGCTGTGACAGGCATGATCATCCTGCTCTAAAACTGTGCTAGTTTGGATTATATCGATTGTGCTGACATCTCATCACTCTTATGAAGATTTTTATAATGTGGGAAGTAAGGGCTACTGGACTGAAATTTTTAGCTAGTGTTCTACTACCTCCCTTATGCAACAAAGCTATGTATGCACTCCTTAAAGTCTTTGGTATTTCACCTAGATCTAGGCTCTTTCTCCAAAGAATACTGAGGGCTCGTCCTAGTGGTACTTTGCACTTTTTTATAAGTAGGTAATTCCATGAACCTGGTATATGTGCTGTGTGAGTGAGCATGCTTTCAATTTCTTTTTCGAAATCTATGGGATTAGTACTAATATCAGTTAGTTGGTCTGCGCAGCCTTCTGACGGAATGAAAAATGTTACTGCATTCTCTACCTTGCTGTCATATAGTGGGTTGCTGAACACTGACTCATACTGCTCTTTTAGAATTTCACTCATTTCCTGTTCATCATCAGTATACAAGTCTCTTCTCAATGATGGTCCAATTCTACAGGGAGTTCTTAGCTTGGATTTTGCACATGAATAAAAATATTCTAGGTTTTTGCAATATCCTGGATGGCCTTTTGTTCCCTTTGTACTTCTTCTGTTAGGTATGACATCTTAAGCTTTTGTTCCAAGTCAGAGATCTCTCAGCTAAGACTGTCTTACCTTTGTTGCGACACATTTATGTTTTTAAGCAATTCGGTAACCTATTTTCTTCTTTTGTACCATCTATGGTATCTATATCTTATCTTCTGAGTTTCCTCAATGGTACATATTTAATAAAGACCCTCTATGTTTCTGTTTGTCTGTTTCCCAGGATATATATGAAAGCTCTTGGTTAGTACAGTGCCTGCACTCTGAAGAAAAGGCGAGCATATCACAGGTCGGAGGGTCATCTGAATTACGATGTCTGTGAGCTTCTGGCCAGACAGCTATTGCATGAATGATGGCAGTGAATGTATTTTCCTTATTCTCAAGTTACTTTACCTTGGTGAGTCAGTGTGTTAAGAAAAAAAGAGAGGTTTTCAAGGAGAGAGTGGGGCTCAAAGATATGAGAAGGCAATTCTAAAACAAGGAAGCCAATACTCTCACCACTGGGCCATATCGGTTTCAATCAAATTTATCCAACTATAAATATTTCCATACATAGTGGTGGCATAGGCCACTACTGTCACCACAAATGTTGATTTTTATGGACAAATCTTATTGAAATCAGAATATTATTATATTAATGGTATACAATACTGAGAATAGATGAACAAGTCATTAGTGCAATACTTGGTATCTTCATACAAAAGTGTTGCATGTACATTATTCAACTGAAGTCTGTATAGTTTATTGGTGAGAGTATTAGCTGTTATTAAAATTTTTATGAATCACTAACTTTAGGGACCTGAGCAAGATCTCATAGCACTCCTGTGGGCAGTAGATCTCTCCATAAAAAAATTAGCATACAGAAACATGTCTAGTTGGGTGAATCTTATTGAAGGTTGTGTCATCTGAGAGCATTAGCTTGGCAGTGTAAGAACTACCTTGCCATTGATTCAAGTACAACTTTCCTTCCTGAGTTGTGGTATATCACAGTATACCACAGTAGTAGGTTGGTAGACAGCAACCACCCAGGGAAGTACTACCGTCCTGCCAGATGACTGTGAAACAGAAACCTGTAACTGTTTTGCATGATGGTAGGATTGCTGGTTTCTTTCTGTCTCATAAACACGCTAGATAACAGGGATATCTTGCTACTCCTACTTACACTTTGGTCACACTTCACAGACACGCACATGCATATATATATATATACATCTAGGCTTTTCTCCTTTTTCTAAATAGCTCTTGTTCCTCTTTATTTCTTCTATTGTCCATGGGGAAGTGGAAAAGAATCTTTCCTCCGTAAGCCATGCGTGTCGTATGAGGCGACTAAAATGCCGGGAGCAATGGGCTAGTAACCCCTTCTCCTGTAGACACTTACTAAAAAAGAGAAGAAGAAAAACTTTATAAAACTGGGATGCTTAAATGTGCGTGGATGTAGTGCGGATGACAAGAAACAGATGATTGCTGATGTTATGAATGAAAAGAAGTTGGATGTCCTGGCCCTAAGCGAAACAAAGCTGAAGGGGGTAGGGGAGTTTCGATGGGGGAAATAAATGGGATTAAATCTGGAGTATCTGAGAGAGTTAGAGCAAAGGAAGGGGTAGCAGTAATGTTGAATGATCAGTTATGGAAGGAGAAAAGAGAATATGAATGTGTAAATTCAAGAATTATGTGGATTAAAGTAAAGGTTGGATGCGAGAAGTGGGTCATAATAAGCGTGTATGCACCTGGAGAAGAGAGGAATGCAGAGGAGAGAGAGAGATTTTGGGAGATGTTAAGTGAATGTATAGGAGCCTTTGAACCAAGTGAGAGAGTAATTGTGGTAGGGGACCTGAATGCTAAAGTAGGAGAAACTTTAGAGAGGGTTGTGGTAGGTAAGTTTGGGGTGCCGGGTTTGTAAATGATAATGGGGCCTTTGATTGAACTTTGTATAGAAAGGGGTTTAGTTATAGGTAATACATATTTTAAGAAAAAGAGGATAAATAAGTATACAAGATTTTGATGTAGGGCAAAATGACAGTAGTTTGTTGGATTATGTATTGGTAGATAAAAGACTGTTGAGTAGACTTCAGATGTACATGTTTATAGAGGGGCCACAGATATATCAGATCACTTTCTAGTTGTAGCTACACTGAGAGTAAAAGGTAGATGGGATACAAGGAGAATAGAAGCATCAGGGAAGAGAGAGGTGAAGGTTTATAAACTAAAAGAGGAGGCAGTTAGGGTAAGATATAAACAGCTATTGGAGGATAGATGGGCTAATGAGAGCATAGGCAATGGGGTCGAAGAGGTATGGGGTAGGTTTAAAAATGTAGTGTTAGAGTGTTCAGCAGAAGTTTGTGGTTACAGGAAAGTGGGTGCGGGAGGGAAGAGGAGCGATTGGTGGAATGATGATGTAAAGAGAGTAGTAAGGGAGAAAAAGTTAGCATATGAGAAGTTTTTACAAAGTAGAAGTGATGCAAGGAGGGAAGAGTATATGGAGAAAAAGAGAGAGGTTAAGAGAGTGGTGAAGCAATGTAAAAAGAGAGCAAATGAGAGAGTGGGTGAGATGTTATCAACAAATTTTGTTGAAAATAAGAAAAAGCTTTGGAGTGAGATTAACAAGTTAAGAAAGCCTAGAGAACAAATGGATTTGTCAGTTAAAAATAGGAGAGGAGAGTTATTAAATGGAGAGTTAGAGGTATTGGGAAGATGGAGGGAAAATTTTGAGGAATTGTTAAATGTTGATGAAGATAGGGAAGCTGTGATTTCATGTATAGGGCAAGGAGGAATAACATCTTGTAGGAGTGAGGAAGAGCCAGTTGTGAGTGTGGGGGAAGTTCGTGAGGCAGTAGGTAAAATGAAAGGGGGTAAGGCAGCTGGGATTGATGGGATAAAGATAGAAATGTTAAAAGCAGGTGGGGATATAGTTTTGGAGTGGTTGGTGCAATTATTTAATAAATGTATGGAAGAGGGTAAGGTACCTAGGGATTGGCAGAGAGCATGCATAGTTCCTTTGTATAAAGGCAAAGGGGATAAAAGAGAGTGCAAAAATTATAGGGGGATAAGTCTGCTGAGTATACCTGGTAAAGTGTATGGTAGAGTTATTATTGAAAGAATTAAGAGTAAGACGGAGAATAGGATAGCAGATGAACAAGGAGGCTTTAGGAAAGGTAGGGGGTGTGTGGACCAGGTGTTTACAGTGAAACATATAAGTGAACAGTATTTAGATAAGGCTAAAGAGGTCTTTGTGGCATTTATGGATTTGGAAAAGGCGTATGACAGGGTGGATAGGGGGGCAATGTGGCAGATGTTGCAAGTGTATGGTGTAGGAGGTAGGTTACTGAAAGCAGTGAAGAGTTTTACGAGGATAGTGAGGCTCAAATTAGAGTATGTAGGAAAGAGGGAAATTATTTCCCAGTAAAAGTAGGCCTTAGACAAGGATGTGTGATGTCACCGTGGTTGTTTAATATATTTATAGATGGGGTTGTAAGAGAAGTAAATGCGAGGGTCTTGACAAGAGGCGTGGAGTTAAAAGATAAAGAATCACACACAAAGTGGGAGTTGTCACAGCTGCTCTTTGCTGATGACACTGTGCTCTTGGGAGATTCTGAAGAGAAGTTGCAGAGATTGGTGGATGAATTTGGTAGGGTGTGCAAAAGAAGAAAATTAAAGGTGAATACAGGAAAGAGTAAGGTTATGAGGATAACAAAAAGATTAGGTGATGAAAGATTGAATATCAGATTGGAGGGAGAAGTATGGAGGAGGTGAATGTATTCAGATATTTGGGAGTGGACGTGTCAGCGGATGGTCTATGAAAGATGAGGTGAATCATAGAATTGATGGGGGAAAAAGAGTGAGTGGTGCACTTAGGAGTCTGTGGAGACAAAGAATTTTGGGTCCTTGGAGGCAAAGAGGGGAATGTATGAGAGTAAGTTTTAACCAACGCTCTTATATGGGTGTGAAGCATGGGTGATGAATGTTGCAGCGAGGAGAAGGCTGGAGGCAGTGGAGATGTCATGTCTGAGGGCAATGTGTGGTGTGAATATAATGCAGAGAATTCGTAGTTTGGAAGTTAGGAGGAGGTGCGGGATTACCAAAACTGTTGTCCAGAGGGCTGAGGAAGGGTTGTTGAGGTGGTTCGGACATGTAGAGAGAATGGAGCGAAACAGAATGACTTCAAGAGTGTATCAGTCTGTAGTGGAAGGAAGGCGGGTAGGGGTCGGCCTAGGAAAGGTTGGAGAGAGGGGGTAAAGGAGGTTTTGTGTGCGAGGGGCTTGGACTTCCAGCAGGTATGCATGAGCGTGTTTGATAGGAGTGAATGGAGACAAATGGTTTTTAATACTTGACGTGCTGTTGGAGTGTGAGCAAAGTAACATTTATGAAGGGGTTCAGGGAAACCGGCAGGCCGGACTTGAGTCCTGGAGATGGAAAGTACAGTGCCTGCACTCTGAAGGAGGGGTGTTAATGTTGCAGTTTAAAAACTGTAGTGTAAAGCACCCTTCTGGCAAGACAGTGATGGAGTGAATGATGGTGAAAGTTTTTCTTTTTCGGGCCACCCTGCCTTGGTGGGAATCGGCCAGTGTGATAATAAAAATAAAAAAAAAAAAAATATGAACAAGAACATTATATTTAAGGTTTCACTTGGTAATTCACAAACAGTACAGCAACGTTTTCACAATGACCTACCACATTAAACATATAAAAAAAGGATACTGTGTGAGGGTGTTGCCCAGCAGGAAGAGCCACAGTTTTGGCACAGTGGCAAGGAATGGCACCGAGGCCAGCAAGGGCAGGGTTGGCGAGGAGTTGAACTTAACAGCATGAGTAGCAATACTGCTCCCCGTCAAGAGGAACCCCGGCAGTGATAACGCATGCTGAAACAATAAATTGTATTACCTCCCAAGTTGCATTATTAAGCACAATACAGCATATTAAAAACTTAGTACAACCAGTGCCTTCAGATTATTGTATGTCCTGTGCAGGAATACTGCACATGATTACTACACACTTCCAATAACTATTACAAACACTATAAGAACAAAATATTTTTACAAAAAATTCCAAAAATGTCATAAACCAGTGTTTGAATTGTGTCAATGACTGCAAACTTTAGCCTTCTTGTAAACCAAAGTAATTATTCATCCAGTAGCTATGAGTAAGTTTTAAGGCTGTCCAATATGCTCTGCCTAACCAGGGGTTCTCCATAAAGTATGTTAATAATGCCAGCTATTCCTAAGTCAATTATATATCGTATTTTGTAGAAATAAACATTATCACTTCCAGACAAGAGTACAACCTCAGCAAAAATATACTGTGTACTTAAATGATAAATGCTTCATGTTACATACATGTAAAGGAAGTTCAATATTTACAAACAAATTGAGTTCCTGGTGTTTCAACTTACAAACAGATTGTGTTCCTGGTGTTTCAACTTACAAACAGATTGTGTTCCTGGTGTTTCAACTTACAAACAGATTGTGTTCCTGGTGTTTCAACTTACAAACATTGCTTTCCTGGTGTTCAACTTAAAAACGATTGTTTCCTGGTGTTTCAACTTACAAAAAATTTGTTTCCCTGGTGTTTCAACTTGCAAAGAGATTGGTTCCGGGTGTTTCAACTTAAAAAGACTTGTTCCGGTGTTTCAACTTACAAAAAAGTTGTGCCCGGGTGTTTCAACCTACAAAAAATTGTTTTCCTGGTGTTTCAACTTAAAACAATTGTGTTAGGTTTAAAGTAAAGGCACATTACTACAAGCAGTCAAAGAGAACACTGCCCCTGTACTTTTTTGGGTCACTTTTAGACCATTACATAAACTCGCCCAACACAGAGCAACAACCTACCTAAAAGAAACTTAAACAATAAGACTCAAAGCTTTTTTCCCCCCGCCATAAATTTCTAGAGACATAATATGTTCTACTCTCCATGGAGATATGGAAAAGAATCCTTCCCGTAAGCCGTGTGTTGTAAGAGTTCAAAATTGGGGCAAGGGTTCATAAACCCCTTCTCTTTTATAAGCCACTAGTTGTACAAAAATGGTATACAATACCGACAAAGTGAAATTTAAGGGGGACATTTTTGGGAAACATCTGGGAACTTTATTTAGACGTTTTCATCATCCAGTGGCTTTATCAAACAAAATTCCCGGGGCAAACTTGAAGCAGGAAACTATTTCGAAGATGAGGAAACAGCCCCCCAACCCAAGTAGGTGCAAAGAGCACGTAGTCATGGGGATTTGAAACAGAAGCAAGGGCCTGCGCTTATTTAAAAAAAAACGTTAGGTGGGAAAAGGTTGAGTAGCAGACGAGGGGATAGTCACTGGTAGGGGGGGATTCCCCATGGGAAATAGGGCCTACCAAAGGAAAAAAAGGGTTGTTTGTAGTATAGTTTTCGTAGCCGTGAAGGTTTTGTACCATTCTTGTACAACCTGTCAGACACTCAAATCATGGGAAACTTGATTTTGAGGCATGTACATACCTTCCCCCCTACAACAACTACTACAAAACTAACCCACTCTTTGGGTAGGACCACTTCCACTGGGGAATCCCGCCAACCCTGACTATGCCCTCGCTACACCCACTAGCTAGCTACTAAAATGCAAAAAGAAAACTTGATTTTCTTTTTTAGGTCTCCCCGCCCCCGGTGAAGCGGTGGGGGCACTGGAAAAATTTGCCATAAACCAATGCAAAAATTTTTCAAATTTACAACATTCTAAACACTTTGGCGGACTATCCCCTCTGTAGCTGCTAACAAGTAAGCTGCTCCAAAACTCACAAAAACTGATACTTTGAAGCAGGAACCAATCAAACCAAATTTCATTTTTTTTAACTACAAAACCAGAAACCAAAATTTTTGCAAACTGAACACCAGGAACACAACTTGCTTGTAAGATGAACATCAGGAACACAGCTTGTTTGTAAGTTGGCAACTCTGCACAGCCCCATATGCACAAGCCTGAGTATATTAAGGTATAAGCATGGGAACTCACGATATAGAAGAGAGCTTCCCGCGATTGCTTGCCGTGGGTGGAATAGAGACATTCTTGGAAAATCCCCATGCGGGCAGACATGAAGAGTGCAAATGTGAGGAGACCGATGCCCATCAACCAGGTCACAAATTGAGAGATTCCAGTAGTAACCTCACCTTCATCACCACCCTCGTCCTGGAAAATATTAAATAGTAAGTAAAAAATATCTCATGACCACTGGTGGAACTCAGACTGTGTGGTTGGCAAGCTCACTTTACCCACCACAACCACTGACAGAACTCAAGACTGAGTGGCTCTAGACATTGAGCTCAGTCAACAGGACACTCTTGGACCACAAAAGTGTAACCCAGCACCTCAGATCAAGCATAAAGAAGATAAATGTACAATGAATGGGGGACTTTAATTTGGGAGACATTTTGCACAAACAGACGAGACTTTGTTTCACATGCAGATATGACTTCACACACAGACATGACTTCACACTCAGACATGACTTCACACACACTGACATAGCTTCATATCTCACTCACACTCTCCCTCTCTCTCACACTTACACTTACTCTCTCCCATGCACTGTGGTCAGGAGCTGTGACTCCAGTGCCAGAAGCTGTGAATCGATCTCTAGAACCACAAACAGGTGAATAGGTGAGTACACACACTCTCACATGCAATCTCTTGCACTTTCACACACTCTCACATGCAATCTCTTACACTTTCACACACTCTCACATGCAATCTCTTACACTTTCACACACTCTCTCTCTCTCTCTCTCTGACACACACACACACACACACATGCATGAATGCATACACAGGTTGTTTGTGAAGTACATTAGACTTACCAAGGTCTCAGCTGAAGCGAAGGTACAAACGGTGGTGCCAATGGTGATCATAATGACAGACACATACTTGTCGAGGGTGTAGCGTCGTCCTAGCACCACGATTGCCATTATCATATTGGCGATCAGTCCTCCCTGCCCAACAAAATTTTCAGATAGTCAAGGGTGCCAAAAAAGCATCAATCACCATGAAAATAAACAAAAGTATATATTACAATAGAGTGCACAAACAACCTGCACATAGGAGAAAGAAACTCATGATGATGTTTTGGTCCACTAACTAGTCACATGCTAGTTTGTATGTGACTAGTTAATGGTCCAAGTCGGACTGAAACATCATCAAAAGTATTTTTCGCCTATGTGTAGATTGTTTGTGTATTGTTCCAGCCACAGTATTGTGCCTTTTTATCCATTATGATAGACTGGATATGCGAGCAATGTAGCACAACGATGCAAATGTATGGAACAGATGATGGGTTATTGCAAACAGTAAAGAGCTTTCATGTGGATAGTGAGGCTCAGGTTAGGGTATTTAGAAGAGAGAGGGATTATTTTCCAGTTAAAACAGGCCTTAGACAGGGACGTACGATGTCACCTCAGGTGTTTAACATATTTTTAGGTGGAGAATAAAAAGCTACAATATTGTGGGTGGAACAAATGACCAAAAACCCACACTTAGGAGAGGAACCTCATGGTGATGTTTCAGTCCCTCCTGGACGACTGTCCTGGACCATTATAGTGGACAATGGTTCAGAATGGACCAAAATGTTGTCCTAAGCCTCCTCTCCTAATTTCTGTTTTTGACAAATTTATTGATGAATCTGTAATAGATATGAATGTCAGGGTGTAGAAGAAAGGTGTGGGATTGAAAGATAACAATTTTAATACAAGGTGGAAGTTGTCACAGTTGCTCTTTGACAATGACACACTTCTATTGGAGGAATTTGGGAGGATATGTAAAAGAAGGAAATTAAAAGTGATCAGAAAAAGCAGTGATAAGAGTAACAAAATATCTAGGTAATGAAAGACTAAATATCAGACAGGAAGGAAGGAGTATAGAGTAAGTAAATGTGTTCAGATATATGAAAGTAGGCTTGTCAGCAGATGGGTCTATGAAAGACAAGGTGAACCACAAAACTGATGAAGTGAAAAAGGAGGTTGGTGCACTGAGGTATCTTTGGAGATAAAGAACTTTATACCTAAAGGCAAAAAAGAGGAATGAACCATAGTATAGTGATGCCAACACTGTTATATGGATATGAAGAATGAGTCTCATGTATATACTGCAGGAACAAGGAGGCTGGAGGCAGTGGAAATGTATTTGAGGATAATGTGTGGTGTGAATATTATGCAGAGAATTTGGAGCTTAGAGATTAGAAAGTGATTTTATGGACTGACAAGCTGCTGAAGTGCAATCAAGGGAAATTGGCTAGCTGGACTTGAGTCCTGGAGGTATGAAGTTTAGTGCCTGCACTCTAAAGGAGAGGTGGGGATGTTGTAGTTTGGGGAGCCTCAAAGAGGCATTTTCCAGTTAGTGAATGGAAACCATATTCCAATTTGTTTACTAAAATTGGCAATAACAAAGCAAATATTCTTTTTAGCAATATGCACCTGCAATGAAAGTTTGAATCCTATTAGAAACTGCATTTTTCAGTTTTCACACTAAAAAAATAATCTCATTTTTTTATAACTTAAAACTCTAATGAATTTTCCTTTAAGTAAGATATATTAGTATTTAAAGTTCTTACATTAAAGATTAAAGAGTATTTCAGCATGATACAGTGTTTGTACAGAGACGGTGACATTTAGGTGTGCACGCAGAAAGCTCCTTAGTATGCAAATCATTTCGGGCAAAATTAAGCCATGGAAGATATACAGTACCCAACAATATTTTAATAAAACTGGATAACTGGCACCTACACAGTCCAATAATAATAAAAAATCTTTCTCTACCGTAAGATACACCAATGCTGAAAGTCTGAAGCTAATCCCAAGAGGCATTGTCAAGTTATCACATGTGAACCTTGCAGGAGGAAAAAAAATTAACAGTCACTACATACATCCCCTTTAGAGGGATACCTATAGACACTGGAGAACAATTTGATACCCTTTATGAGGGATTCCTATAAAAACACTTAAGAGAATAACTGGATACTCATGCAAATTCAGGGATTTAACTGCATCTGAGAGTTCAATATGATAATGTTATAAAATACTAACAAGTTGATAAGACACAGGTGCAACAGTTAGGTATCTTGAAATGTTTCACCTACACAGTTGGCTTCTTCAGTCAGCTACTGAGGAGTCAGCAGAAACAGTAGAGATGTGAAGACAATGTAATCAGTCCATCAGCAGCAGAAGTATGATCCAGATGCTACACAGTTCACTTTGATTATGTAAGCAAGTTTGATTATCCAAAGGATGGGAAGGGATTAAGATTTCCAAATTTTGAAAGTTGGAAGGCAAAGAAATTTTTACAGGAATTTCTGGCTTTTCTACATTTCCTTTCTCATTATAATTTTTAACCCTTTCGGGTTCCATGGCCCGTATGAAGCCCACATTTAAGTGACTTTGAAAGGTCATGGGGTTTCATCAGGACACATGAAATTCCGATATTGCCTATAGCCAACAAGGGGTCTTCTCACCCAAATACCCAATAAAGGTCCTGACTCTTTCCCACAGGTGTAAGAATTTTATATGAAGCAGCATCTTCCAGAATGGGAAAAAGGTAGTTCCCCAAACATCACAATAGCTCTAAATAGGAATATGACAGCTAAAACATTTTTTAAAACAAAGAAAGTTATGGGAAAAGTCACAAGAGTAAAAAAGGTTTGGAAAATCCCAAAATAGCACGCTAAAACCATCCAAAACCCCCATTATTTTACTGACCGAACTCAGGATTAATGCTCCCAAAATAGACTAAACATTGTCTAAATTTCCTGGAGATGTCATGTTTGTGATCAAAGAGTGGTGTGAATATCATGCAGAGAACTACTAGTATAAAAATGAGGTAGTACAGTAGAGCCCCCATATCCACTATTCGTTATCTGCAGTTTCAGTTACCCACAGTTTACTGTGGCTCAAAAATACCTCTTAATTTTGCATAATAATGGCCCCAAAGTGCAAAAGTAGAGAAGCTGGCAGTTCTTCAAAGATTAACAGACACTGTGAAGTGCTTCCTATCAGTGAAAAAGCGATAATTCTCCACTTACCGTGCATAATTTATCAATTAAACTTTATAATAAGTATGTATAAGTATGTATAAGTATAAGTATGTATGTATGTATTCTGAGCACCTCTGCAAAAGCAGTGATAATGTGTGAGTGTGGTGAAAGTGTTGAATGATGATGAAAGTATTTTCTTTTTGGGGATTTTCTTTCTTTTTTTTGGGTCACCCTGCCTCGGTGGGAGACGACTGACTTGTTGAAAAAAAAAAAAAATGTATAAGACTTTTATATAGGGTTTGCTACTATCCACGGTTTCAGTATCCAAGGCAGGTCCTTGAAATGTTTACCCCAATGGATATGGGGGTCATACTGTATACTGTACAATAATCCATGAGGCAAAATAGGAGACAATGAGGTCATTTGGCTGCAGTTGACTTACTTATATACCTCCTTTTTATGGTAAAAATTTTCATAAATGCAACTGAAAAAGTAGAGCACTGTATCTTGTACTATAATTTTTAAAGGGGTGAACTGGTAAGCTAGCAGAAGGCCTCAGTATTCATATGACTAAGACCAGCATCAGGAAACACTTGTCCTGTTTCCTGACAAACTTTATCTAACCTAAAAACACTTTGCAAATGCATAGCACATTCTATGAAGGTCTTTCCATGTGCTGTTCAATTTTGGATGTCCTCTTGCAATCACATTTATAAAAAATGGCACTATATAGAGGAGCTTCATAAGAGAGGCGACTGTATTTAGAAATGATGTGATTAAAAGTACCCGCTAAGGCCAAGCTGACTCACACTCCGGAAGATCATGTGCAGAGGCATAGAGATGTTGAAGCCGAATGCCAAGTTATTGGTGACATTAACAATGAAGAACATCACCACCAGCACCATATAATCTCTGTAAAGATAAATACATGACATTTACCAGAAGAGTTAACAAGTGCAATCAACCTTCCATATAATGAACTTAGGAAGTATGAAATAAAACCCACTGGGATAATAGATTTGTAAATAACAGGCAAGGTCCTTCGGTTCGCAGAACTGTTCATTACTGTTACAGAAATACAATCTTTTCTCTTTCTTTTCTTTCTTTCAACACACCGGCCATATCCCACCAAGGCAGGGTGGCCCAAAAAGAAAAAAAGTGGGCTTGAGTACTGTTTCTTATTTTTTTAACCTATCAACCCTCTCCTACTGAGGCAGGGTAACCTGAGAAAGAAGATACACTTTCACCATCACTCACTCTGTCATCGTCTTGCCTGAGGTGTGCCAATACTATTTTTTGCAGCTATGTCATGTCAAGGGGCCCAGGTGATGCTGCTACTGACATTTCTGGTTCATTTTCTCTTTTTAGCTTTATCGAATGCATTTAAGTTAGTGTCTATTCATTTGGTATACGTGTAATGAGTTCTTATATATTTTGCACAATTTAGTAAGGAAATGTGACTGATATATTTACAATTTTGACATGTGCATAAGTGTATATGTGCACATGCACACTTGGTCCAGTAGGCCCACATTAACCCTGCCATACTCTTCACATGCTCCAAGTAAACTAATTAACCCTGCCACATTTTTTTTGGGACTGGGGAAACCCTTGCTACTTGAGTATATCAGGAAAGTGCGATTTTTAGTAATTTGTTAACAATGCTGAAAATGGCAGGTGTAAGGCATGAGTTCCTCTTTTGAACAACAGGGGGGAACTTGATCAAAATTTCCGCTTGTTTTTTGTGATAATAATTAATCAGTGTACCCAGTGGGCTCAATTTGGGGAACAAGGCGGAAACAATTTGGGGAAATTTTCCAACCAGTAATCCCGGGTGTTCCGTGGCCGGGTAACAAACCTCCCTTGCACACGAGTGTTCAGGTTGAATCCCCGGAAAAGGGGGAAACATTGGGTGTGTTTCCTTACCCTGCGCCCGTTACCAGCAAGAAAAGTGGGTACCTGATGTTAGTTAACTGGGAGGGCCGCATCCTGGGACACAAAATAAAAGGACCACAATGGAAATAAACAGACATCCTCAAGATGCACTGACTTTCTAAGTTATCCTGGGGGGCTAACCTTCTGGGGTTAAAAACCCAAAAAAAAATCTTGTCTTGAGTGTTGGTGGGGGGATTCCTTTAGCTAGATCGATCCTTGGTGAAAAAAATCGAAAACTTTTTGCTGTTTTTTTTCCACTGAGGTCCACTGACTTCCCCAGATGCAACCCAACCCCCCCTTACACCCCCAGGTACCTCTACTGCGAAGTGAAAGGGCTTGGGAAAAGACAAATGTTGCCACCTGTGGGGGCATTGAACCGGACATTCACGGTGGGGAAAGTGTGCTCCCAAAACTGACCCCAGGGAACCCAGCACCAACCCATTATGGGAATACCTCATATCGGGGTACTTACCACAGCCGTGGGAATGGCACACAATTAAGTATTACCCGGGAAGGGCAAAAAATTTAAACCCCCTCAAAAAGGGGCCCAAACAATCAGTTTTTTCCTCGGGAAAGTGGCACCAATCAAATTTTCGAAAGTGGCACACAATCGGGACTACCTCGGGAAAATGCCAACAATCAGGTTTTTTTATTACAGGAAGTGCTAAATCAGGTATTTACATCGAAGTGCCACAAACGGGGTACTTACCTTTTAAAATTGTCCCATTTTGTTGCATAAGTGCTCAATTCTTCTATTTCCCCCTCAGGAAGTACCTCAACCACTGGAAGGGGAAACACAACCGGAAACTTACCTCAGTAAGTGCCACAGTCGGGTATTTACCCAGTATCCACTCAGGTACTTCCCTCAGTAATGCCACAGTCAGGTATTTACCTCAGAAGTGCCCAGTCAGGATTACTCATAGTGCCCCGTCGGAAAATTCCTCAGTAATGCCACAGTCAGGTCTTACCTCATAAGTTTTCCAACTCTGACTTACCGGGAAATGCCAAAAAGGGTACTTACCCCAGGAAGTCTTCCTTTCATGTATTTACCTGGGAAGTACCTCAGCGGGGAAAAACTAAACAATCGGGACTTATTTGGAATTTGGCACATAATCAGGCACAAACCCAGGAAGTTCTCTACTTACCTCGGGAAAAAGCCAAAATCAGGTTTTTACCTCAGGAATGGCACACAGTTAGTCTTACCTCAGGAAGTACCTCAACCCTGGAAGTGGCCCCAAAAATCAGGTACTTACCCAGAAAGGGCACACAGTTAAAAATTACCTCAGAAGTCCCCTAAAACCAGGGAAGTGGAAACCAATCGGTACTTACCTAAAAGGGAAAAATTTTGGGGGTGGGGTGGGAATGTCGTTCTGGCCGCCCTATAAACAAACACCCAACCAGCATCTGATTGGTCCCCTCATCCCAGCCCTGTTTGGGTTTTCTCTCCAGTTCGATTGGTTCTCATCTCAGCCTCTGAGGGTTTCTCCATCCCCGCCTTATTGTCCCCCAACTCAGATTGGGCCTTTTCACCCAGCCCTGATTGGCCCCTTCTCTCAAGTCTGTTTGGGTCATCTCTTCACTCTCTGACGGTCACTCACCCCACATCGATTGGTCTTCTCATCCCAACCCCTGATTTGTTTTCTCATCCCAGCCCTGATTGGCCCCTCTCCTCTCACCCCTGATGTCCTCTCCTCTCACCTCTGATTGGCCCTTTCTCCTCTCACCTCTGTTGGCCCCTTTTTTCCCTCAGCCCGTTTGGTCCCCTCCTTCAGCCTTATGGTCCTCTCCTCTCACCTCTGATTGGTCCCCTCTCTCAGCCTTGAATTGGTCCCTCCTCTCGCCTCTAAGGTCCTCCCCTCACCTCTGATTGGTCCCCCCCTCTCCCTTGTTTGGGCCCCCCTCCTCTACCCTGATTGGTCCTCCCTCCAGCCTCTGAGGGGTCCCCCCTCCCCTCTGTTTGGTCCCCCCTTACCTTGATTGGCCCTCCCTCTCAGCCTCTGATTGGCCCCCCCCCCCAGCCTCTGATTGGTCCCCTCCTCTCAGCCTCTGATTGGTCCTCTCCTCTCAGCCTCTGATTGGTCCTCTCCTCTCAGCCTCTGATTGGTCCTCTCCTCTCAGCCTCTGATTGGTCCTCTCCTCTCAGCCTCATTTCCCCTCCTCTCACCTTGATTGGTCCCCTCCCTCACCCTCTGATTGGTCCCCTCCCTCAGCCTCTGTTTGGCCCCCCCTTAGCCCTGATTGGTCCTCTCCTCTACCTCTGATTGGGTCCTCTCCCTCGCTCTGATTGGTCCCCCCTCCAGCCTCGTTGGTTTCCCCCCTCTCACCCTCTGTTTGGGTCCATTCCAGCCTCGATGTCCTCTCCTCTCAGCCTCTGATTGGCCTCTCCCTACCTCTGTTTGGGTTTCCTCTCCCTCGCCCTGATTGGCCTCTCCTTCAGCCCTGTTTGGGTCCTCTCCCCCAACCTCTATTGGCCCTCTCCTCTAGCCTTGATTGGTCCTTCCTCACCCTGATTGGCCCTTTCCCTTCTTCACCTCTTTTGGGCCCTCTCCTCTCACCCTTTGATTGGTCCTTCCTCTCAGCCTTGATTGGGTTCCCCCCCTCTCACCCTCTATTGGCCCCCCCTCCTCTCGCCCGATTGGTCTCTCCTCTCCCCTGATTGGTCCCCTCTCAGCCTCTGATTGGCCCTCTCCTCTCAGCCCTGTTTGGCCCCCTCCTTCAGCCTCTGAGGGTCCCCCCTCTCAGCCTCTGATTGGCCCCCTCCTCTCAGCCCTGATTGGTCCCTCCCTAACCCTCGATTGGTCCTCTCCCTCAGCCTCTGAGGGGTCCTCTCCTCTCGCCTCTGTTTGGTCCTCCCCCCTCCAGCCTCGTTTGGCCCTTTCTCCCTCACCCTGATTGGTCCTCTCCTCACCCCGTTTGGGCCTCTCCCTCAGCCTTGATTGGTCCCTCATCTCACCTCTGATTGGCCCTTCCTCTCAGCCTCGATTGGTCCTCCCTCTCAGCCTTGTTTGGCCCCTCCTCCAGCCTCGATTTTTTATATTTTAGTTTTGACACATGTAAATAAAAAAAAACTCTTTTGCCCTTATTCCTGGTATACTCCTTTATAGTATAATAATATTATCCCCTTTTATAGTTTTAATAATAAGGAATAAAAGAACTCCATAGAAATAATCACATTGACTTTTTTTTGGGTCACCCGGTTCTCTACACGATGCTGCATTATGATTCTATGTAACTGTTTTTATTTATACCTGAAAAAACATACTTACCTTCGAGGACAATGCAAGTCTCCTGGGGACATTAACCAAGTCTTTACTGGGCCCGCAGAAAACAATGTGAAGTTCAAGAAGACAAAATTTCAATTATTTCTTTATGGAAAAACGAGAAAAAAAAAACTGTACCTAGTATAAAAACAAAATTGAACCAACAACGAGCGGAAACAAATTTGGGAAGGACCTGGGAGTGAATGTCAAGGATCAAAACAACTACGTGTGTGTGTGTGTGTGTTGTGTTTTGTGTGTGTTGTGTGTGTTGTGTGTGTTGTGTGTTTATGTGTGTGGGGTTGTTTTTGGTGTGTGGGTGGTGTTGAGTTTGTATGGTGTGTGGTGGTGTCGTGTGTGTGTGTGTGTGTTGGTGTGTGTTTATTGTGTGTGGGGTGGGTGTGTGTGTGGTGTGTGTGTGTGTGTGTTGTGTGGTGTGTTTTTGTTGTGGGTGACTAAAACAATCATATTTGCACCAATAACTCACCCCTACCTTTTGGATGAATCTTATTGGGCCAATTGGTCCTGGAGTTAAAACCCTCACGACCATGAGTTTAATCCACCTATACCTGGGTTTTGTCAACCACGGGTAGCATCCATGCAGAAGTAAAGCACTCATTAACATTTTGCTTCCACATTTCAAAGTAACCATTGGCTATACTCCTTGCGCTCCAATGTTTTCATGTATTCCAAGTTAACACCCGGAATCGAAAGTGATTCCTTATCTTCCATAAATACCTTAACTCCTTGGTGCCAAT